CTTTTTTTGGTGATATTCGATTTGCAAGTCTGATCAGCATGAAGAGATGAAGTGTTGCTATGTGTCACACCCCCAAACCGGAACGACATAAACGTCCGGGGTGGGGGACATCATGTACAATATCACAACAATTGCATAATAGTAATCAAAGGAAACGCAACCATTACATCGATAAAATATAGTGTTTACATCTGTTCATTACATAGTTTGTATAACATCAAAAGTGTATAGCAAAAGTATAAAATATGTGACTCTTTAAAGCTCCATCTTCTCAAAACCTGTGGGTGTGCCTGTCTAGCGGTTCCTTGAGAATACAAGTAGTTTTAAAAGTGTATCAACATTTAAGTTGGTGAGTTCATAAGTATGTTTTTAAGATGGAAAGCTTGTTCTTGATATTTGAAAATGTAATAGTGTACTTCCAGAAAATCCAATATTTTCATTAGTAAATTAAATGTAGTCTTAAGCCTTAAGACCAAAATGTATGTAGTTACTGTATTCTGAAATAGTACACTGTATGGTTATTAATAAATAAAACTATATCATGAATGTTTCTTGAAATTTGTATGATGTACTAGCATACTCTATACTAGAAGGTAGAATACTATAGTAGTGTCTATGGTTGTTTGTATGAAAACCTTCTTATATGAGTGCCTGGAATCCACCAGTTATAGTGTAAAATAATGTACTGTAGTTTCATTATTTAAAATAAAACTTTTTGTATGAGTGCTTGGAATCTACCAGTTCCAGCGTAAAATAGTGTGCTGTAGTTTTATTACATAAAATAAAACCTTTGAAGTAGTGTTAATCCCGTAAACAAATGTTTTAGTTGATATTATTGTGAGTTTCATATAACCATGCTTGATATGACCTAGTGGCCTCTACGATGTTCTTAATGCGTCAGAATGTTACAATATTTCTCACCGTAGGCCTCTCGGCCTAGCTATTGCAAGCAGCTCAGGTGCGAGATTGTCAGTCCCGTATAGATCTACACACAAATATGAAATAATTTTCTTAAATTGATAAATATCATATTTACATTTAGTTTTTCTAGATATTTCATCTTTACCTATTTGTGAATAACCAAATATGAAATAATCTTCTTAAATGATAAATATTTCAATTAATCAAGCAATTAAATTTAAGAAATATTTCAATTAATTTGGATAAGTTGTAAAGATAGGAGTTTCATATATATAATACATTGTAAAGAAAATCTAACTTTTTCTAAAAATAGATTGAATATAATAATATTATTTCTTTTAAGACGTCTAAATTATCAAGCTAATAGTACAAGCAACCACCAATAAAATAATATTAAATTTTAAACTTAACCCTATTTAAATTAAATTGTACAAAAAATAATACATTACATACAACTTAACTTGCCAATGCATTCTGAATACAATAAATGAAAATTAAGCTGGGTGTTTTTCCTTCTTATCTTTGTTTATCTTGACCTCATCCTAGATTTATTAAATTTCCATTTAATCCGACAATAAAAAAAAAGGCATATTAAGCGGTGGACCAAACTCAGTCAACATAAAAATTGGACCAAGTCATCAGACCTCAACTAAAACTCAAAAGGGAAAATGACTCTTGAGGGTAATTAACTTTTGCGTTTGTACTAATTTGTTTTTTTTTTGTCTTCAATATAGCATTGAACTTGTTGTTTGTGTTCACCATAACCCTTTTGATCGGCTTTTGACCTGTGATAGCCGGTCAAAGGGTTATAGTGAACACAAACAACAAGTTTGATGGTATATTGAGTACAAAAAAAGGAAAAGGACCAAATGAGAGCAAAATCAACAGTTGGTTACCTTTCTGAGTCATTTTCCCCGAAAAGTTAAATGAAATTAAAGTTGCGAAATTATCAAAGACTGCAACCTTCTTTGGCTATAACGTATATGAAGAGCATTTCAGAGGGGTAACTTCGTTAAAACGTGGTCTATGCTATGCTTACTGTGGTTAGCTATCAACACATCTCTTCAAAATGATATGATTGTGTATGAGAGTTATATTTATCAGCATAAACGTTTACCTCAAAGTATATTATGGTGATGTGTCTACAAAACCAACATGATATTGTACATATTGATGTTGTATCTCATCCCATGAATTCGATCTTAAAGCTAATTAAACTCAAAAATCACACCACTTGTGATTCCACTCGTTTGTACACTTGTCTAGAATCCATGATACGATAAATCATTCAATTGGAAATGTAAATGTAGTCATGAAATGGGTCTGCTTAGTCAATATTCCCCTAATAAATATTCAAGTGCATTACAAAGTTGTACATGTATGAATAATGTTCCTTCGTGGGTTATGTTTTGAAGAGAAGCAAGAATAAATCTCATAAAATCATCAATATCAGTAGGAGATGACATGAGATTTGCGGTAAATAAGTAAAGGGAAAATGACTCAGGAGGGTAACCAACTGTTGAGTTTGTTCTCATTTGGTCACTTTCCTTTTTTTTTTTTGTACTCAATATACCGTCGAACTTGTTGTTTGTGTTCACCATAACCCTTTGACCGGCTATCACAGGTCAAAAGCCGGTCAAAAGGGTTATGGTGAACACAAACAACAAGTTCGATGGTATATTGAATACAAAAAAGAAAAAAGAAAAGGGACCAAATGAGTACAAACACAAAAGTTAATTACCCTCAAGAGTCATTTTCCCAACTCAAAATCCCTTAATCTCGATCACCCTTCCCTCTTTATCCCTAACGTCCAATTCTCATAATCAGAAATCTTTGTCTTGCTCTACGACTGACGTGGCTTTTCTTCTTGGTGCGGTTTTACTCAGATTCAACAAGGTACCCCATCAGTACCGCATCACCAGTGCACATCACCAACGATCTTCAAAATGATGAAAATGCAAAAGGAAACAAAGAAACGGCGACACTATGAACAGGTCAGGCGAAATACATGACACATTTTTCCTGTTTCTAATTTGAAAACTTGTTTGTTTGAAGGATATTTTTTTAGTGATTTTAATGAAGGATGGGGGTTTTATTTGAATCTTGAATTTGTTTTAGTTTGCTTTGATTTTAGGTTTTTGGCTGAACTTGTTGAAGGTATGTTCTAATTGTTGTTTGTTTGTGAAGTTTTCCATTTTTCTTGTGGATTTTGCTCTCTTGTTTTTGTCTTCCTCTATAAGAACCTTTATTTTTCATTTGAAATCTTGTATAAGAAAAAAGAAAATCAAAAGCTGCATCTTAATAGCTTTAATCGTGTTCGTCGTTGCTGGTTCTTAGACTGATAATCAAAGCTAATTGTTGCAGGTTCTTAGACCAATAATCAAAGTTAAATATTGGTTGCAGATCAGGTGTTTGATGAGGTATGGAGTTTCTGTAATAAAAGTGAAATTACCTACTCATCCCTAGCATTAAACAAGTCATTATCTGTTTGGTTCTGATTAATATTCATATTTTTTTAATTTTTTTCGTAGTATTGTTAGTTTTTAGGGGTTTTAGAGAGGATTCCACAAAATACCTCACATATAATGCTGACTTATAATGCTAACTTATTAGTTTTTTAAAAATTTGGTGATGTGAAGATCAACAAAATACCCTACATATAATGCTAACTTATTAGTTTTTTACAAATTTGATTTAGGGTTTATTTGCGTCAGAATGGCAACTTTAGTCAAAATAGAAAAATATGGTTCTTGACCTTTTTAGATGGAAGCGGTATTTTGGTCAAAACTTAAAAATGTTGAAGAATTGTTGTTTATCAAATGCACTATAAGATGATTTAAATGTTTATGACATGCAATAATCGTTTCTATATTGTTTATTATCCTTAACTAATATTCCATGTAATGATAATTGTGAAATGCCACGTTGGATTGACGGAAACGTGTGCATGATCATTTGTGTCACTATCAAATCAGATGAGCATGGTGAGTAAGGTAGGCCCGTCCATAATGGCCCATTAGTTCCAAGGAGATTAACTTGTAATCTTCATTGAAGATCTTGCGATCTTCAAAGTAATTAGATAAGGAAGTGGAGAATTGAGAAGTAATGTAATTAATTTCTTTACACACAACCTATTTTTGAAACATGAAACACTATGAAACTTTGCATTTTAAGAGACATCAGATTATTTTGTTTCATATTTTGTCAACACTTAATTGCTACATGACGTTTTAATTCCCCGAGGTTCTACTGGTTATTGCAAACTAGGTGTGAGATCCATGTATTACATGAGTTTAATTAAAAAAAAAAACAAATATTAAATTTTAACAATTTGAAAAGTTTGAATTTATAAGAAAAATGAGAAAAATTTGAATTATTAAAATTAATGAAACTTTAATGTATTGAATACATTACATATATAAACTCTTTTTAATAAATACTTTACATATATATTACCTTACCCATTAAATGTAAAATTTTAATTTAATAAAATAAAAAATACAATAAAATAACAAGTGAAAAATAGAAAATTTAAAAAATTTAGAAAATACCATGTGTCCAAATGAATGAGGAGATGACAAGTGGCAAAAAAATCTTCATTTATTAAGAAGGATGCTACAATAAAGGTATCCAAAAAGTATATAGCTAAATTTAGTGTTGTTTTTCAATAAAAATTTCAAATAGAAAAGGGCTTAATATATAAAGTAAACTATTTTCTTTTATTGTCGTATGCATTTCATGTTATTTGGGAGATGCATTGTTTCCATATAAAAAGTAATTTTTGAAACAAATACCCTCGCCAAAAAAACTATTCGGGAAAGGAAACAATTCGTTGCGTAAAACCGATTTGAAATATAACATGTTTCCAAGAACTAATCAACAAAAGAAACTAATTGCCGAATCGGGTACGCAGCTAGTATTCTATAATTAAAGATAGGTAAATAGATTTACTACTTTGAACTACCAACTTTAATGACAAGTATTCTATACTGCAAACAAAGTTAAAAAAAAACAAAAAAAACATCAAAATTTCCCAGAAAAAAAAAACTACTTGAAGATTAAGTTTACTCGAGTATAATCTAGATAAGTACGAACTCCTCCTGCATAGTCCTGGCCCCCGGTTCTTTAAGATTAGGTTGAAGGTATTTATTTTTCACAAACGGGCTAAACATGCAAAACATCACCATATAGAACCAAAGACCAGTTACTTCCAATAACCTAAAAGACATCGACATTATGCCATAACACATAATGACCATGTATCCAAAAGAAACCATAGAGAACATTGCCAAATATTTCCTAGCAGCCTTCGCATCATTCTCAGTCTCTTCGGTCTCCCAAACGGAGCAAATCAGACTCGCTGTAGGGAACATTATAACATAGCAACAGCCGGTCTCTATCGCCAATAGGACACTGTTCCAAATCACCCAGCCTTTAATAAAAGGGCCACTTTCCCCTTTTACAATTAAAGCAACAGTAGCCAAAACTTGAATTGGGATCAACACCATCAAAACCTTCTTCTTAATTATCTTTTCTTGCAAAAATGGCTTCAACAAACACCACCCATCACTGATCACCACCATCACAATGCACAAAAGCACAGCTTTGATGAGCTGAAATATGTAAAACATGACATTCCAGTCATGAAGAGGATTACCTGTAACCTTCGTATGATAATGAATTTTTGCAGCAAAGAACAAGCTAAGCGACTTCATAACAAGCAACACGCCCATTAGTAAATGAAACCTGTTGACATATAGCTTGTTCTTGAAGCATACCAAGATCCAAAACCCTAGAAAAGTGAGATAAAAGAGGGAGAAGTTAGAGTAAAGAGACGGAAGCTGTGTTAGCTCGGCTGATAGATAGTCTTTGGTGTCGCCATTATCAGTGTTGTAGAGCTCTGTCCTGACGTCCATCGTCACGTAGGATAAAGGGTTGCAATTGGTGAAGTAGAGCGAGTAATCACTGGGAAAAGTCACAGAGTGGGATTTGTTGAAGGAAGACTGAGGAGAAGGGGAGAGATCTTGGAAAGTAAAGAGTAGTGAGATGTATTTGGAGTCCAGACTGCATGAAATACGTTCGTAATTCTTATAGGGTCTTGCAACATCTGAGATAAGATAGAAACCAATACGTGAAGGGTCAGGTTGTGATAAGTTGGAGGTGACCGGAACTGAGGTAACAGACACAGAGGAGATGGCAATGGAGACATGACCGGTTTCTGTAAAGCCGAAATTCTCGAAGAAGATAAAGCGTCGGTTATCGGATCGGATCTTCACAGAAGTGATCTCCCCGGTGGATGGTGCTGTGAAGAGGAAGAAGAGGAGGAGAACACCAGTATGGATTCTGGCTAAATTCATCATGCTAGGAAGACAGTGAATATCGAAGTAAGAGAGATAATGCAGTGGATCGTTTATATAGAATCTGAATTAAGCCTATAACTTCTCCAACAAATTATTCAAAAAATACGAAAGGATATACAAGAAAAGGTATATATCCACTAATCATCATCATCATAATATAACAATATGTACTTGGTAGATATATGCACCGAAGGTTCGTGAAATTTAATCCTTTTGTTTTTCTGCCCAGTATGAATCTCTTTGTATATATTTCCACACGTGTTTGCTTTCAAATTTTATATTTCAACATCCTAAATTAATGTAACAACCGAAAAATATGCATGCCATGTCGAACCATAGATAAAATGGTGGTGTGCGTGGATCATCATCGACAATTTGGTTGTTACCATGACATCGGTAGATATGGTGGTTAGTATGAAGGAGGCCTTAATTTGAACGGAAACATGGTAAATTAACTTCATAATATTAATGACCAACAAATCGATGAGGACCTCATTCTTGTCGCTGTGTGAAAACACTAAAGAAACCATATATATTGTAAGAATTTGGGTATAGAAAAAACTTGGAAATTCTGAGAATTGTGATTTTCACTTTCAGATTAAAGTATTTGGGTGGTACTTTCAATCTTTAATCGGATAAAACTCAGAATTGAGAGAAAACAGAAGAGAGAATGTTTTGATGTTATGAAAAAGAAGTGTACCAACCACAGATTCGGATATGATCTACAATAGAAAAAACTTTTTGTCTTAAAACTACCACATGACAGTTATTATGTCCTAAAACTGTCCACAAACGGTTATAAACAACCTTAAATCTGGGTCTAGAATATGGATCGATCCCAGCCAGGGGCTCTGCCCCTTGGACCCCGCCAGGGCCTGCCGCCCCTTGGACCCCGCTCCCAGGGGCGCTGCCCCAGGACCCCCGTCGGTTTAAAGGGCTTCACCCCTAAATAGCAGTATACTTTCAACAAAGACAAAAATTAAACAAATGTGGACTCCACACCATACCGATTTGTTTAATAATTGTCAAAGTGATATTGATCAACAAATTAACACCATTACACTTAAATAACATTAGTGATATAAAATCACCAACATATATTTTTGTTGGTAATTCGTCACAATCTTACCGATAGAATGTTGCGATCAAAGTTAATGGCCCCACTCATCTGAACAAGAATTTCGATCAATTAAAGGAAACTTAATGTTCTCACTGATTTGAACAAGAATTTCGACCAATTAAATGAAACAGAGGAAACAAAAGAGATGTTTTTCAATGCTTAAAGATTCTTTAATGAAAAAAGAAACATTACAACCATTTATAAGAAAACGAAAAAAAATAGATGACTCCTAAACTTGGTAAATAAACAATACTTGATAAGCAAGTAATAGACTCCTACTTAGACTCAAACTTTACTTGCCATATATTTTGGATTATGATTGCAATCTCACCCTAATCCAAATTCTCCACCCTAATCCAAAAACAATAACTTCCTTTACTCCAAGCAACTTTCATATTTCTTCAAACTTCACTCTACACATTAGCTTTGTTAAAATATCAACTCTCTGTTCGTTTGTAGTTACATGTTTTACGACAATGTCACCTCTTTCTACACATTCACAAATAATGTGGAACCACGTGTCAATGTGTTTACTCTTCCCATGAAATATTGTATTTTCCAACAATTACAATGCTACTTGTTATGTACATGCACTAAAATTGGAATTATGTTTTTCCAAGTTTGACCGGCTTCTATCTTTCTAGCTCTTCTGTCGACTACGTGTTGTATGAAGTCTACCCCGCACCTGCTGAATCATCTTGGTCATCTTGAGTACCACATAGGTACTCCCCATGACCCGTTGACCGACCTCACCCCAACATATCGGGGTTCTACACTTCCTCCCATAGAGCATCTTAAAAGGAGGGTTTGGTTGTTCCCGTTGACAGCAACTGGTACAGAGATTGTTTTTAGGTACCCCCTCTAAGAGGGACATTACTTATGAAGATGACAGACAATAAGAAGCCTATGAATGCCTGGACCTATATTTCTTTGGGAACAAAACTGAATATATTTTAAAGAAACAATAGAAAAGTGTAAAAAAAAAAAAAACAAATATACCACCCATCCAATAGCCACAAAACAAGCATTGAAACGACCCATAAAACCAGTTTATGTTGTGAGTGTAAGTATGTGTGTTAGTTCGCAAAAGGTTGTGAAGGTAAACAGACAGGTTGTTAAAGCTTTCTTCATGCTGACTCTCAGAGCAACTCATTTTGAAGCAGTTTTATAAGAGATAATTATGAATTACTTGATTGAAGGTAAGGTTTTAAGCACGCACACATACACACACACACACACACACACACACACACACACACACACACATATATATATATATATATATATATATATATATATATAGGAGACGAAAAAAAGACTGAGGTTATAATCCAGAGTAGGAACTCCGAAACGGAGACCACAACTCTGGAATGCTATGTTCTGGAGCAAGTGGTCATTTTACCAAAAATCAACGTTGATTATTTTTGTTAAAATTGTCGTTTATAAGGGTTAGATTACTCAATTTATCGAAAAAAATTGAAAACCTTGAAATCTGTTCAACTTGTGTTAACTTTGAAAAACTTATTTACCTATGTAAAACGGAAAGAATGAAATTTTTTATTAACTTAATTAACCTGAAAATTCTGACAAAACAAAACACAATTATCTATAGATATTAAAAAATATTGATGTGTACTTACTTACAAGAATTGATTAACATGTGTGACTCGTAAGCCCGACTCACATTTTCAAATTAGGTTGTTATTTTGACACTTTTTCAAAGTTGAAAAACTGTTGAAATGTATTTCTGAAATCTATCAAAAATGGGGAAGGGTGACCACATTACGGAAGCTGAAGACGTCTTCAAAATGCAAAATTATTGACCTCCCTACCATCACAAGTTGTTAGTACCTTCTATCACCAACTCCTATCAAACTATAGCTTTGGTAAGTCCTGCCCCGATTATGTTTCCTAATTACATGTAATTTAATATAATTAATAAAATAAATATAAAGACTTAATTCAACAAAGATTCCTCGTTAAACATATATGAAATCTTATTTTATAGTATAAATAAATGTAAGATTAAAACTTGAAACTTTTTATTGATGGGTGCCTCCCATCCATAGTTAATCCAGATGCAGTTAACAAGGGTAACAAATTACCACAACTCACTATTTTGGATATGATCAAGTATTACATTACTCAACATGTTTTTCATTTATGAAATGATTTTTACTCGATGCGAAATCATATCATTCTTGTTAGTTTCTTGACAAAGTACATCACTACAAGAAAAATCCGAAATAACTACGGAAGTATATCGTAGCTAAACCATGATATTCCGTAGTTACGTGTGGTTAGAGACGGAATTTGCTACGGAACCCATCTGTTGCAAAAATCCTCGTTACTAAACTTTTTTTACGGAATCCGTAGGACCTTCGCAACGGATTTTGCAACAAACTTATTTCCGTAGCAAAATACCTATAAACTGTATCCGTAGCAGTGACGTAGCAAATTAGCTACAATTGTTGTCCGTAGCATATCCGTAGCAAATTACCTACCACCCAATCCATAGTTAATCTGTCACAAATTAACTACAAACTATACCCGTAGCTAATTTCCATAGCAAATCTACTACGTGCAATGTCGTAGCAAATATTCCATAGTGAATCTACTACGATCTAATTCTGTAACAGATAGTTGGTAGTAAATATACTACAATTTACTTCCATAGCAAATTTACTACAATATATTTTTGTTGCAAATATTCCATAGTAAATTTACAACAACATATTTTCATTGCAAAAAAAAAATTATGACGGAATAGATTCCATAGAAAAATCCATAATAATTCAACTACATAATAACAACGTAAAAATAGCCATAGTAACTCTGTAACAATATCAATAACAAAAAATGGTGACATGATTATTTAAAAAACATAAAAAAATGATTCAATTTTTTCTTCTGAAGCGAATTTATAACAAAATCAAGATTCTGAAATTGCAATAACAATAAAAGAAATTACAAAAATACTTAATAAAAAAATAGTTTATCGTCAAATGAAATACCCCTATGTCCAAAGCACCAATCAAATTAGTGTAATACTCAAACTCAACTAGAAATCCTAAAATGCAATCAATAAAGAGTGTATCACTGATTATTCATATCATTAACCATGTTTCTCACATCATCCAACTCAATCCTTTGTTGGTTTATGGTTTCCTCTAATTTCTGGATCTTCCTCTCGAGATGATCTTTCTCAAAACTTGTATCTGGTGAAGTGCATGTTTGAGAGGAGTTTTCACGAAAAATGGACCTGCCATATGATCCAAGCCCATAAACTCTTTTCTTACGATCATGTCCTCCAACAGCTGCATAAAACAGTTCGCTTTCAGGAACTTCCTCTCCTAGCAATGCCAAATCCGCACGTCGAGACACAAACAAATCCTATAATGATATTGTTGCATTAATATATTTTTTATACAAGATTTTTTTAAAAAAAATTCCTTTTATCAAGTAAATTAGAAATAAACTTACATGAACTTCTTTAGCTTTGTTAACTTGAAATGTTTTTCCATCATGATCCTTAGTATGAGTAAACATGAATAGTTCATAGCATGATGGAGCTTTTCCTGTATATTCCTCCTACATTAACACCAATTATATGTCAAACACAACATGAAATGAAAGAAATAAATTATCATACTAGACTTTAATAATTTACATTAACCAATAATAAGGAAAGGCGGTGGTTATATTATACAAATATTATAGATTGCTATAACACTTTTCAAAAAATGATCATAAGTAAACATGAATGTAATATGCCAAAATAATTAAAACACACCTCCATTAGATGAAATGAAAATAAGATGTTAAAAATAATATTAGTAGTTAAAATACACATACCATATCAGCAGCAATTTGTTGATGTGAAGCCGATCCACCATTATGGGTAGGTGGGGCTTTTCCACCAACTACACCTTTACGCCTATTTTTTTTTTATTTTGCTCTGATTGTTTCTTGAAGTCCTCTGAATTCCATATTGCATTCCAAGCATTCCATACTTGTATTTCTATGTGACATGGCTTTTCACGAGTTGGGTTTCTTGTGCTTATGTCATAGATGTACTGTCGATATCTTTCTTTGGCCTTTTGTTCCCAAGCAGCCTTGACGACTGAGTCACTAACAGCAACATCCCACTGGCATTTTTTCTATAATTCATAATAACAATTAAGTTATAATATGTGATTGGTGTGACTAATAATTACAAAAAAACATAATAATAAATAATCTACCTGAAACTCTTCCCAATAGAAAATTTTTGTCTCTTCACTTAAATTTACCCACTTATATCCATTTCCGTCCACTTTATCTAGGAATGATTTCGTAATTATGGACGAACATTTACCTGAAGGTAATAATCTACAAAACAAAAAAATGCATAATAATATGAACTAATCAAACTTAAATAAAAAAAATATGAAAATCAATTAGTATTTTCACTTACGTATTTGCCCGAACTGTAATATTCATGCGTTGTTCTAGTTGTGCATCTTCTTGTTCAGTAGCAATCGGTGTCGATGTGGCTGCTGTGGAGGAAGGGGCAGATGATGGGGCTTGTGTAGATGAAGGGGATGATGATGTGGCTGATGTGGATGAAGGGGTTGATAGGGTACTAAACAGTGGGGCTGATGTGGATGAAGGGGATGACAGGGTACTAAACAGTGGGGTTGATGCGGATGAAGGGGCTGATAAGGTATTAAACATTATGGGGGTAGTAGATGCTGTCGTTGTCGATGTAGGGGAAAATGATGGTGTTGGTGTGGATGAATGGGTGGTTATTGGGGCTGATTGAGTACCAAACAGTGGGGAGCTAGATGTTGTCGGCCTCATAGTCGGTGTGGATGCAGGGGTGGATGCTTCATTCGTGTACCTTTGTAACAACCTATGCATGTTCTTGTGTGGCCTTGTTGGATGTCCTTTCAATGGGAACGGCGACATCTCTTCTGTAATAACAAATTTGAAATGAAATATTATAAGGAGGCCAGGTTTACACATAAACAAACAAGTTATATTGAAACTGATAAAAAAAGTCTGATAAAATCAAGAAGTATGGCAGACAACAACATATAAATGACCGATAAGTGAAACATTTGTGGTTATCTTTCCTTTTAGTGTCTTCCTACTTTTCTGTAAAGCCATATACGGTTGTCTAGTAGCAATCCAATCACGAACTGGTGTTATTCTGATCGGTAAAAAAAATTCTTCAACAATCAATTTTTTTATTCGGTGGGATCTCGATGTAGAAACTAGAGAAGATCGAACAGATTTATGTAGAAATTGTAGAAACACAACTAAATTACATGATTAATTTTACTATCCTTGATACTTATAAAAGATAAAGATTAAGAAGAAGATGGAAGAAATAAAAGAAAATTTACCAGAATCTGTGGGAGCACAATAGTAAGAAGCAACGAACAGCCCTAGAAGTCGATAGGAAAGCAGGACGAACAAAGACGTCCACCACCAGGATTACTCTTGACGTGGGGAAGTTATGCGTAATTAATGGGAATTGGTTTTTAAGGATTAGATACAGGGAGATTTGGTTTGGCGGGATTTGAAACAAGGATTAAAAAATTTCAATCAATGATAAGATATATGTAAATATATATCCGTATGATTTACATGGTAATGATTTTATATATATGGAATGGGTAACAAAATGATTTTGTAGCTGAAACTCACTCCCGTAACTGAAATTATTGCAGTATAAAACCTTTTTCCTTTGAAAATACCCAAAATACCCTTCCTTGTTATAGATGTTGTTGACATTACTTATTATTATCTACTTATTCATATATGCTCGAAATTATATCCATATGCCAAATCTCATGGAAAATTTCAAACAATAGTTACTCCAATTGTAGTCAAAGAAATCAATCAACTATTTTTCTCAAAATTTAATAATACTTACTCCAATTGTAGATGTTTTTTTGAAGGCTATTCTCATGTATATGACATCTCCATTAGAAATACCACCCTGTATCCCACCAAAATGATTTGTTATTGTCCTAATCTGTCCATATTCATCCGTATAAAGCACAAAAACCAACTATTTTTACAAAATCAAACATAAAGTAAATTGAAAAATAACACAAAACCTGGACCTGAACAAGAACAAAGTTGGAAATGTTATTGGACTGGTTAGTTTGGACCGACCCAAGCTGTGTCAGGATTGGCCTGATCAATATTAATTGGATCAGGTTGCTGGGCATAACATCATACGATATCTTTTTTTGATTTTCAATATGTCCAATTTTATTTAAGGAAATTCCGTATTTACCCCTTAACATATTAGCATTTCCCCACATCATTAACCAAAGTTTCCACCAAAAGGACTACAAAAAAAATTAGAAAGACTAAAATACCCTTGCTAGGAAAAAGCAACACAGAGTATAAATTGGTTTGTCCTATATATGCATATAGATTACAATGTTATAATAAACTAAAATAATTAAACTGTGATGGTGTAACAAACAAATCAATACCAATATCGTTCCCATTTGTAAAGCAACTAAAACCAAAAAAAACAAATCTCTAAAGTTTCAAACAAATCGTTAATGAAGCCTTACTCATTATCATCATCATACATATCATCATTTCCGTCTTCTTCTTCGTTTGTTGATGAATTGTACCCAAACTCACCCTCATTGTCATCATCATTATCATTACTAGAAGCATTGCTTGAGATGTCGCCATACTCGATTGTTTCATCACGTGAACTTGTGGATGCTTCTTCCATAGGGCTAATGATTTCATTTGGTTCCGCTTCATCATCTTGAAAAGCATCATCATTTTTATTATTAGTAGTATTTTGTACATACAGCTAACCAATCAGACATGTTTTGCTTCATGCTAGGGTATGGAATGAAACAAACTTGAGTTGCTTGCATAGCTAAAACAAATGGTTCAAACTTTCTAAACTTTCTTTGTTTGTTTATGTCAACCAGCTTATATTGCTTATGGACCTTGACCCCAACATTAGGAGTTGGATCATACCATTCACAGTTGAACAAGACTGTGCTTTTGATTGGCAAACCAGGATATTCAACTTCTAGTATTTCCAACAACCTGCCATAGTAATCACAAGAGTCGCTACTTATACACACTCCACTATTCATTGTCACTTTGTTAGCACCATATGATTCTGTATGAAACTTATAACCATTGACAAAGTAGACGTTATATAATTTCACCATCCTTAAGGGTCTTCTTGAAAGATCATGTATATACTTGTTCTTTATTTGATTTTGACGTGCCTATATTACATAAAAGGAACTACATAAGAAATCTATCAATAATAATAATAATAATAATAATAATAATAATAATAATAATAATAATAATAATATCCTAAGCACTCACATAATTCTCAAACCAGGAGGCAAAGTTTGTATCCACTTCTTCCATGAGATCATGTTCGCTTATATCAGGATATAGTTCTTTCAGCAACCTTTCATATTTTCTGTACACATAATAAAAATAATATGAAATCATGCAAAGTTGAATAATATGTTACTTTGAAATGTCAATTACAAGCTTACTTGACATACGGTTGCACCTTCTCTTCATTAAATAGTATGTAAGAATGTAATGCATTAAACTCCTTATCACTTAACCTCCTACTCTTGAGTTTTCCATATGCGCGGCCATGATGTAAAAATATACTCAACTTTTCTTCATCAACATCTTCAGCTCCTCCATCATCATTACGAGGCATCTTTCTGATACGTGTATAAACATGGGGCTCGAAATAGTGAGAGCAAAAGTTTGAGGCTTCACGAACCAAGAATGCATTGCAAATTGACCCTTCCACTCTAGCTTTGTTTTTAACATCCTTTTTCAATTGATGGAGCAATCTACAATGGAACAGACAACATATTAAAGTTAACCAAAGTTAACCAAAGTTAACATTTAATGTATAAAATATAATGCGAAGTACAAAATTAACCTTTCAAATGGATACATCCAACGATATTGAACAGGGCCTCCTATCTTTGCTTCATATGGTAAATGTATCGGTAAATGTTCCATCGAGTCAAAAAATACAGGGACAAATATCTCCTCCAATTTACAAAGAATTACAGGAATTTCAGCTTCAAGCCTTTTCATGTCTTCAACAGTAATTACTGTTGCGGTTAAGCTTCTAAAGAAAAGACTTATCTCAGTGATTGCTTCCCACACCTTGGTTGGTAACATCTCGCGGAACGCAATTGGCAACAATCTTTGCATAAATACATGGCAATCATGACTCTTCATTCCAAATAGTCTATGTGTGCTCAAGTCTACACATCTCCCGAGATTCGACACATAACCATCTGGAAATGTCAAATTCTCCACCCATTTACATACGACTTTTTTTTCCTCCTTGCTTAACGCATATGGCGCTTTTGTATATTGACCTGTAACTTGATTTTTACCAAAACCTTTTCTATTACAGAAGACTTTCAAATCAGCTCTTGCTTTTGTATTGTCCTTTGTCTTGTCCTTCACATCCATTACTGTGTAAAACAAATTTTCAAAAAAATTCTTCTCAACGTGCATAACATCAAAATTATGTCTTATTAAATTTGTTTTCCAATATGGCAAATCCCAGAATATGCTTCTTTTTTTCCAACCACATCCAACTTTTTTGCTACATGATTTATTTACTAACTCAGCATTAACTTCTGTCACTTTTAACAAGCCAAAATCTTCAATTTCCCTTAAAATTTCTACACCATTCATAATTGGAGGAGGACCCCTTTCTTCTATACGGTTCTTGGTGAACTTAGTCTTATTCAATCTGAATGGGTGATCAGATTTGAGAAATCTTCTATGACAATCAAACCAAGAAATCTTTTTACCGTTTGGCAGCCTAAATGCTTGTGAATATTTTCCACAATGTGGACATGCTAGCTTACCTGCAGTTGCCCAACCAGATAGCATGCCATATGCAGGGAAATCGCTAATTGTCCACATTAAAGCGGCTCTCATTTGAAAATTTTGTTTAAGTGATACATCAAAAGTTACGATGCCTTCTTCCCATAAGTCTTTGAGTTCTGCTATAACAGGTTGAAGGAAAACATCTAACCTTTGCTTAGGGTTTTTAGGTCCGGGCACAATTGCAGTCAAAAACATGTAGGGTTCCTTCATACACATAGACGGTGGCAAGTTATATGGTGTAATTATAATGGGCCACGTTGAATGTTGTGCTCCTGAGGTTCCATGGGGTTGGAACCCATCTGTGCATAGTCCCAACCTAACATTACGACTTTCGGCTGCAAATGACGGATTGATAACATCAAATTGCTTCCAAGCATCAGAATCAGACGGATGACACATAACTCCAACATCATGCCCATGATCTTGTGCATGCCATCGCATGGAAGCAGCTGTTGCTCGAGAAGCATACAATCTCTTCAGCCTTGGAGTCAAAGGCAAATAATGCATTCGGGAAAAAGGTACACGTGAAAACTTAGAAGAATTTCTTGACTTTTTATACCTTGGCGCTTCACAAAATTTGCATTGATCTAGATCTTTATCTCCTCGCCAATATAACATGCATCCATACATACAACAATCAATCAATTCCACGGGTAGACCAAGTCCTTGTATTAATTTTTTTGTCTCATATAAACTATCAACCATGGTATTGTCCTTTGGTAAACCATCCTTCATCAATTGACAAATTGAATCAAAACATTCCTCAGGGATGCGATATTCAGATTTGATATTCAATAACCGAGCCACAACAGACAATTGTGTTACTTTTTCACAACCAGACCACAACTCTCTATCAGCAGCCTTAAGCATATCAAAAAAAATCTTATCTTGTGGATTTGGCTCCTCATCGATATGGGTTGTCATGAAATCAGGTCCTGCAGCATCCAAAATCATCTCCCTATAAGAGGGTTCATGTTGTTGATTCAGACTCGTGGTTGTGTCATCCATCTGTGATGAAGTACAACCTGTAGTTGGTTCTCCATGTTTATCCCACACATGGTAGTTTGGAATAAAACCAAACTTAGACAAGTGAAACTTTACATCTTCAATTTCTCTATATGGTCTGTTTAGGCATTTTTTGCAAGGACATTTAATTTTTTCTCCATCCATAAAATGTTGTTTGCTACAAGCAAATTCGATGAAAGTATTCAAGCCATTTCTAAAAATAGGAGATATGAATCCATCAGCATCTAGCCTTTCATACATCCAATTTCGATCTGTATTGTCCATTTCTAATATTTTATTTAAGTATATTGAATCTGTACGAAAGAAAATAACAAGTGTTAGATATGCAAAAACAAAAAATAAGATGCAAATTAAAAAGTTAAATAATACATGATAATTCCAATAGTATGTAAAATTAGATAGTTTGTCAGTATGACTTCCAAATTTAATCAATACAAACAGACCTAATTTGTATTTACAGCAACCATAGATTAAATGTAACATAAATAATACAAAATAACAAAGTATATGCCATTGACCATTTTACCCCTGATGCTGTTTAGTGATTTTATGGGCCTAATATGTTGCTGTTGTGGGTAATGTGCTGATATGTTGAGTTGCATGCGTAAAAAGAAAATAATAATATGTTTCCAGTTAATATGTTACCTGTTTGCTTCGTAAAGATTGCTCACATTCGAATTATCTTTTCTTAAGTGTTAATAATTAATATTACAAAAGCAAAAGGGTGTTTCTTCTTGGGTTGAAAAAGAATAATTTTTTACTTGTATGTCATAATATAATCAGGGCCGGTCCAACCCGATTTTAGGCCCGGGGCAAAATAAAAGATATGAGGCCCTTAATAATTTTTTTAACAGCAAACAAGTGTAATAATGAAAAAAAAGAAACCAAGTTCCACGTATCATCAAGACTATACTCAGGAAATTGACAACAAAAAAACATGTGACAATGGGATCCAACAAAAAATACAGAAATAAATAATTCTGAATGAACACTACAAATCACACAATTAATCTTTAACAAGCACATGTAACACATAATAAAATAGTATATCTATTGATCCTATATCGATTTTCAATAATAATCTTTATTAAAAGAGTATGTGAATTACTGAATTATATAGCATGATGTAATGTTCAACTAACTGTCAAGTGAATCACCATCAATTACATAATTTCAAGAGAATGCTAGCCGAAAGATAAGATTAAGGTTTTTTGCATTAAAGTATCTGAAAACAAAGGAATTATGTATCCACATCCAATTAACTAACAAAGAAAGCTAGAATATAATCAAAAGAGAACAAAGCATGTAAAACCAATAGTTCCAATGAACTCAGAATATCATCAAACACTTGGTGGGCAGTGAAAGTATGGTTGTTAATAACATTAACTTTACCACATTTTCTTGATACCTACACTTCGTTTAAGGCTTTTCACAATCAACCGTTCAATTTACTGTTCCTCTCTAAAATTGTGGATGCAAAATCATAAATCATATATTTTAGAGTTCATCGAGTCCCAAATTGGAAGTTCACAATCAAAACATAGAACTTGACAACGGAATATGTTTCAAACTCAAGTCTAGATCAGACCTTTGAAATTAAAGATTTAAAACCAAAAACTGGAGGATTCAAAATCGGAAGTAGTATATATTACACAGATTCAGAGATACGATACACATTCAGATATTAGAAAGGGGTTTACAAATTACAAGTGTCTATTGCTTACTGTTTATGAAGTCGATTATGAGAGGTTGCTTTGGGAAATAGAATCTTTTGGGAGAATTGAGAGACTTGATTTTCCCGCTTCCATGACCAGACACAAAAAAAAATCGCTTCCATCAAAAGATGCGGAAAAAAGGTGATTCATTTACGAAGAAGTTGCTTGTATTTAAGAGAATTAAAAAATGCCAAAAAAATGCAGTGACAAGATTCGAACATATAACCCTCCTGCTTGCATCTTGCGTCTCACCCATCTCAACTACAAGCGTTTTTGGTCGTTTTCTGCATATTCTTTTTTATATTATCTAAACATATATATATTAAACGTAATTTTTAGGGGCCCCAAGATTTGGCGAGGCCCGGGGCGGTCGCCCAGCTTGCCCTCCCTCTAGGGCCGGCCCTGAATATAATACCACCAAATGTGAAACATGCTTAATATCATTGCTGAAACGACCAATGGAGGTCTTACTCTTATCTGTTCATCATCTAAGTTTTATAATCTGTAATGCTGCTAAGCCGCTAATGTGCTCCTAAAGAAGGATAAGAAGGTATATGGTGGAATCGTATGTTGGAGTTTCAATCATCTGGTTTATTTTTGAAGTGCTGGAATATCATTTGATGACTCTTGTTTGTAACGGTCTGATTCTTAAATTGGTTAAATGTCTTGGCCTTTATCAACATGTAAGTGTTTTATCTTACTGTCTCACTAATTTGATACCCTCATTCATGAGTTGGTGTTTTATACAGATCTCCACCAAAATTCCTAAAGTTTTGATTCCACAGAAACCCGTTTTGGAAATTGTTTCATCCCTGAGAATTGAGTTAAACAAAGGTTTTGCAGCGATTATAGATATCGGTTCAGGGAAACACCTCAAAAAGTTTCTATCTGTAAGTGTTTTTTTCTTCAATCTTTTGCATAAAAGAAGTCAGAACGAAAATTACCTGTGTCTTTGTTTTAGAGGAAATCGTTGGCAAATACTGAAATAGAGAAGAGGGATGACGAGATCGGTCAACTGTATATCTTCGATGGAGAAGGGAAACATCAACGATACAAACTATCGTCGGATCGGAAATCTCACAGGAAGTGGGAGAAGGGAAGCGGGAATGTGAAAATAAGAAACGAAAAGGGGATTTTTTATTTAGAGTTAAATAATTGTTTTTTTAGCTTTCTTTTAGGTCAAATTCAATTTGTTTGATTCCGTTAACAAATCAATACTAAACAGTTTTTTTTTTAATGGAAATATTAAACATTTATATAAATTATAGACAAATAATGTTTCATTAATTGAATTATACTCGTTATTGACTTTATCATTATAATTATAAGAAAAAAATACCATTTTTAATAATATATAATCAATGGCAAATTACAAAATATTAAATACACAATAGTAATTAAAAAACATACCAAAGATGTAACTGTCTTTTTCAATTTCGGAATCGGATCTTTTTCAATTTAGAATCCGAGTGTGGCCATGTTATTTGAATACAAATATGTTAATTAAAAACCAATTCTTTAATGTTTTGATGTGTTATCTAATTATTACAGTAAAATTAGAAAACGTTAGGGGTGGCTAGGCATCCGACCGCCCCTAATGTTTTCTTTAATGTATTAACTCCGCCACTGGCGAGTAGCATCGGGGTGGTCTGAGTCGGAGTGTGAAATAAAATTGAAGTGAGACGGATTCTATATGAATAATTCATTGATATGAAAGTCAAAGGAAACTTGGATATTTGGATTTTTCTTTTTTTCTTTTTACTTTTGGTTGACTCAATGACTCAAATGCAACTTGGATGTTAAATTTTTTTTGGACCTAGAACAAAAAAATGACTTCAATCTAGCTTAGGGTGGTAATCAGTTTCGGTTCGCTTTAATATAAAAATATAAGATATAGCTTTATATTTAATTAACGCAATTCAAATTTTCGAACTGAAAAGTTTAAACCGATCGGTTTGATCTAAAGTTTATGAGACAAAAACTACAACCAAAAAACAATATTCAAATACTGAATTTGATATATGGTATAGTTTAAATCGATTTCGATGGGTTCGATTTGGTTTTCTGATTTTCAGTCTTCGAGACCAAATAATTTCCACCGTTTTTAATCTTTCACTTCTTGTTGTCATATATATAGTAATTTCAGTCTTAAATATAATGTGTCGGTCTCTAGTGTTTCAACTTGACTTGAAAAGCATCTAAACACATAAAAATTGAATATTGAAAAACTGTATTGCATAATATTAATGTGGTTTTTATTTTATAGTACATATAATAGTTACAACGTATATGATCTGTAGCAAAATACCAACGACTTATAATTCTGTAGGAAATTCCGTAGCATGATAACTACGAATTCCGATTCCGTAGTAAAATTCTGTAGTTATCTGAATATTAGCTACATAACATAATTCTGTAGCTAATTCTGTAGCAAATATACCTACGTCTAACGATTCTGTAGCATAGTCCATAGTAAAGTACCTACAGTTTTTCATACCGTAGCTAAATGCCGTAGTTATTTAGATATTTGCTACAGAATGCAATTCTATAGCAAATTCCATAGTAAAATAGCTACAACAAGCCATTCTGTAGCATAATCTGTAGCAAAATAACTACGGATTTTACTTTCGTAGTAAATTTCCGTAGTTATTTCGACTTTTTCTTGTAGTGCATGTCCACATCATTTTTCGTTTTGAGGTATCTCAAGGCCATACGAAATGTAGGTATACTTTATTAGCTGAGATTTGCTTGGAAGATAATTAAATCGCAAATGATAGTTTCAACATCAATAGGCCTTGGTTTGAACAACTTAGTTGTGTTATCCTGAAAGTATATCTTTATGGGTATCTTGTAGGATGATATAGATAGGTATTACAATGTCAGAATTGAAGGGAAATGTACTTTAGTTTCTTACATGTAATAGCAATGTAACTTAATTTCTCTACTCATAATAGCAATGCAATTTAATTTTCTTACCAATAATAGCAACATACTTGCATTTCCTTTTTATTAATAATAGCAAAACATTTAGAATCCTTACATTTTCTTTAAAGATCAAGGTGTATTTAGCATTCCATACACTTCTTCAAAGATTCAGACAATGGGTAAGAAAATGCACAATTCATCCTTTGTGGGTTGTGCTTAACACGACACTCTTGACGTAACTAGTATATAAATAATAATTAAACATGAACTAATCGTTTTCAATAAAGATGGAACTCAAGATAATTTCCTCACGTGATTGTGTAGCGGTGTCACATAACCAATAAAATTGTCTATCTTGCAAAAAGGTGGTTATTTAATTGTAAATGTTAAAAATATTAATTATATATATACTTAAAAAAGACATGCAGCTTATGAACAATAGTAGATTGGAGTCGTGGCTTGGCTGGTTTAGCTGTCGGCTCCAATACTTAAAAAAGTGCTATAAGATCATCGGTTACCCGGAGTGGTGGGACTTTATAAAGAAGCCAATTAGGAAGATGATTAGTATGGTATTAGTGGCTACTTCTTCTCAAGTTCAAGAATTCACTACTCCAACAGCAGCTCATACTTTCTACAATTTTGGTATGTTTCACCAGAACTATACTCCAAATTGTAGCTAGATATATAACTGACACATGGGCAACCAATCATATGAGTAATAGTTTTGGAACCTTAATAACAACTAATCCTCCAAAACAAACTAGTTTTCACACAACTAATGGAGAAACAAAACATGTGATTGATGAAGGTTCTGCAAAAGTGTCAATTTCAATGGAGCTCGACTTTGTACTTGTTATTCCTTCTTTACCATCAAACCAGTTATCAGTAAGTCAGATAAATGAAGCTCTGAACTATTATATGACCTTTTGGAAAAAAATTGTGTCTTTTAGGACATGGAGACACATCATATTCTTGGTTACGATATTAGGTAGGGTGAGTTGTACTATCTTGAAGAACAACATCTGAGGCAAGCTCATCACATAGAGTAATTTAAGCAAATAAGTCCAAGGCAATGTTATGGCATCGTCAACTTGGACATTTATACTTTAGTTATCTTAGAAAACTTAAAACAGATTTATTTTTTAATGCAACTAATAATGAATTTAGTTGTGGATTATGTGAGTTGGAAAAAAACAAGAGAATATCATATGTTCTTAGCGATAGTAAAAGTTCAGTTCCATTCATGATCTTTCATTCTAACATTTAGGGCCCCGGTCCAGTCCCCACCCCAAGTGGTGTAAGATATTTTGTTACATTTGTCGATGAATGTACCAAAATGATTTAGATATCCTTCTTAAGAAAAAAGGGAGAAGTCCTTCATGCATTCAAAGAACTTCATAAAACTGTTAGAACTGAGTACAGGAAGGATATCCAAATCCTACAGTCTAATAATGGTGGTGAATACATCAACCATGAAATGCAACAATTTTTTCAAGAAAACTCAATCAGGCATCAAATATCGTGTGCTAAAACACCCCAACAAAATGGGTTGGCTGAAAGAAGGGATCGACAGATCCTTGAAATTGTTCGTGCATCCTTGTTCAACCTGAATGTACCATGAAAATACCGAGGAGAAGCAGTTTGACCTGTTGCATATATTACGAATCGTACACTATCTCCAGTAATAGAGATCAAAATCCCACTTCAAAAACTGCATGAAATTGTTGATAAGCCACCACCTAATGAACTTAAACCACGAATCTTTGGTTGGACTGCCTATGTTCACCAAGACATAGGAAAACTAGAACCACGAACCCTTCGATGTTTTTTTGTAGTATACGCGGACTACAAGAAAGGGTATCGATGTTATGATCCAATAGGAAATAATATGTATGTAACTCGACACGTATCATTTCATGAAACGGTGAAATACTTTTGTCATAAGACTTCCCTTTAGGGGGAGAGACAATGAGGAAGAAAAGTGAAACCCCATAACGATGAGACAAATGAGCTTATAAATGAGAAAAATGAGCTTGTCGTCGAAGGCAAAAAAACCTCTCGAACCCAACAACAATGAAGAAGAAGATAGTGACAATGAAGTTATTGATAGGTTTTTAGATAGTACTGACCTCGACCCTAGTGTCACCGGCAAAGCTAATTCTATCGCCACTGAAGCTCAACTGATCACTGATAGCGTTGAGGATGTCAATATAAAAGATACTCGTAGAAATACTCCTGGAAATACTAACAAATGAGAAAAATTTTCTGACTTTATTGTGTAGGTTTTAGATGGAGAAGCTAACCGATGGTACCATATAAGAAGCAATAGAGGGGTACCAAGGAAACAATATCTTCTTGAATTACAAGCGAAAGGAAGTTACCCTATAAACAACTACGTGTCAAATCATCGCCTTGCAATCTTGCATGCACTTCTAGTTGATAAACTATCCATAGTTTCTATACCAAACGACGTGCGAGAAGCCATGAAAGATAAAAGATGGAAGAGAGAAATCAATGAAGAGATGGAGGCATTGCAAAGGAATCAAACATGGGAGTTAGCAAAGCTTCCTAATGGAAAGCAAATAATGGGATGTAGGTGTATATATACCATGAAATTAGACTCGGAGGAAACATAGACATATTTAAGGCTCGATTAGCGGCCAAGGGATATACACAAAAATATGGAATTGATTATGGGGACACTTTGGCAATGATAACAAAAATTAACATCATTTATATCCTAGTCTCCATCGTAGCAAATAAAGATTGGCCTCTAAAACAATTTAATGTAAAAAAAATGCTTTCTTAAACGGGTATCTTGAAGAAGAGGTGTATATGGATCCTCCACCAGGTGTCGAATGTAATGGAAAGGTATGCAAACTAAGGAAATCATTGTACTGAAACATTCACCACGTGTATGGTTTGGTAGATTCTCGAACTTCATGAAAAAATAGGGTATAAACAAAGTGATGCAGATCACACATTGTTCGTGAAATTTAACACAGGAAAAGTGACAGCCTTGATTGTGTATGCTGATGATATGGTTGTCACCGGAAACAATACAGAAGAAATGAAAAAAATTCAAATAATTATGGCCACTGAATTTGAACTCAAGGTTCTGGGACACTTAAAGTACTTCTTAGGGATCGAAGTAGCCAGATCGAAGTTAAGGATCATTATGTGTCAA